CAGTAAGCACGAAAATTTCACGACCGCAGAAAAGCCAAAAAACATCGAAACACAACAAAATACAACATTACCCGCAACAAACCAGAAGTATCCTCCGGCCTTACGTTTAACAAAATGATGGTCCCAGTGGCAAAATCGGGAGGCATGAAACATTGTACTTCTTTTTTTCGGGCACATATATATCTGTGCGCTCGTGGATGCCACCCAGTAGGGTGACCAAATGTATGGCTACAAAATGGTTCTGTAAATTCTTCTTAAAAAATGGTTACTTCAAATGGACCTTAGGACATCCCAGTTCGTAAGGGACATTTCGAAGATGATGATCCTTGGAGAAAGGCTGGGACAAAGTGCACGAACAGCTCGAGTCACACCCCCGCCGCTTGTCAAAAAACAACTTGGCCGGGCTGATCGACAGTGGTGCAAACCAGTCAGATATTGTAGCAATTAGATGCTTGAATAAAAGGTGCGCCTTGCATTTTGTAAGCCCAAAACCGCTTTATAAATTTTTATAGTACAAAATGGGGTATCCTAGGTCCACCATGCAAACATTTCCATTGCGACCAAAGACCAAGTTCACAATGTCGCCCTTGTCACCTAACATCACCTAACACTCTGGTCTGGTCCAACATGCGCTTCCTCGTTTTTGGCATTATGGACAAGGTGCTACACTTTCCATGCTGTTCAGGGGCCCTTGGCTTATCTTCTAAAATTCAGTGCGTTTTCTTCGACAAAGGGGGCACTGTAACAAACGTGAATGGCCTTGGCCAAGGAAGCGTGACAACACACGCCACTGACCCACAGCACATTATCGACATACCGGGCACGTTCCACTTCATGACCCCATGAAGCACACAGTGCTGTAGCCGCAGCCGAGAGACCCGGCCACCCAGGGTGACGTAGCACATGAACACCCACGCAGTGAGCGACAGAAACTGTTCCGTGAAAGTGGGGACAAACCCACGCTTTCACGCGGCCCAGTAGCAGCCACCGATGGTACTGGGTTCCGGCTGTACGTCGACTCGGGTTGTTCTAAGTCGACTCGGATTAGTGTGCCCATGCAGTTTATGTATGTTGGACTATCGACTCAGCTTGTGTAAAGTCGACTCGAAACCGTGTGCCCTTGCAGAACTGCACTCCACAGGGATGTCTAAGCATAGAATGTATTATTGATCTTATAACACATGTTTTGTGTTGTGTCCATGGTGTGCCTGATTGTCACTTGTTTGTATTTATTAATTTGTTCTTTGGGGGAGGGCAGCTTCCACAGGGGTGTGAAGGAACAAGGATTTGTGACAGTTGTGATGCAAAGCTCCTTGGGCCCATGCTCCACTACTGCTGCTGCTGCTGCTGCTTCTGGTTGGCTGCTGCTGCTCCTACTGAATTTGGTTGACCGTAGGAAGCTGTAGGATGACTGACTGTATGAGTCGCGCTCGCGCGAACCTCGCGCGGGGTCGCGCGGTGCTCGCGCGCAGAGGCCTATATTGTGTGTGTGCGCGCGCAGCCTATTCTCATTCTCTAAGTTGCGTATTGGTGTGACCGGTGCTGTGCCATTGAGATTTGGTCTTGAAACATCCAGAAAGCAAGGCCCCAGCCATAACACAGTGTGCACACGCTTTTCCGTGCTCATTTTTCAAGTGTGCCCATTGTGCTTTGACCAAAATGAGTTGACTTCACGCGACGTGGGCTGATTTAAGTACGCCGCTTGTAGGGGCTTTCTCAGGATATTAATTCAGAATCCGAAGGTGCTGTTCATAGTGTGCCCATAGGGTTTTGCATAGGGAAGATCACGCAAAGCAAGTTGAAAACATTGATTTTTGAGCACGTGCGTGCAGTGCGCGGACGATTTCCTAGTTTTCAACTTAATTGAAGTGATGTCCTTCAAGTAGTGTGCCCATGGTGTTTTGCAAAAACTGCGTTGACTTAAAACGCATGAGTTGACTTAGGGCGAATGTACGTCATACCATGCAGCTGCGTCGACTTAGCGCGAGGTGCGTTGACATACGGCGCTCGCTTGTAGGGAAGGGCTTGTTTGTCATGGCACACTTACGCAAGACTCGCCTCACAACATCAATGGACCCGCGTCAGCAGTGACAACCACGGTGTTAGACTTGGGACAACCACACCGACAACAGTAAGGGTCGCCATGAACAACGTCAGCAAGCCTCACGCGGAGTACCAAGGAAGGGGCAAGCCTCTTCGAGCGACCGCGCTTCATCACCACTACCCGTACGACGAAGGACCGTGTCCAGCCCATGGTGGATGACACGCCACCGCTTCCGAAAAGACCACGCAGCGAATAAAGCCACCTTCCGCAAAAGAGTGGCCAACTTTGTTGCAAGTTTGCTTGCCATTTTGACGGCACTTTGCCTTAATAGTGACATAGTTATATAATACGGGAAGAGAAACTTGCACATACGCAAGAACAGGAACCAGGCACCAACGTGAACATGACATCCCAGCACCGAGCGCGAACATCATCAAACAGAAACGGCCACCATTTCCCACGCAGTGGAAATCGTGGCAAAATGTAAAAACAAAACCTATACGTGTCAGTGGGCACCTTCTAAAACACATTCTTTTCTTTGTCGGTGGGGACCAGACCAGCGCCAAGCCAGGCTCAACACTCATGTCATGAGTGTGCGCCATGTGGCTGGCCTCGCCAAAGGATGCCCGCACACTTTGGCTCTCACGACTACAAGGCAGCGTGCTAACAACTTTGCGACAAACCAAACTACAACAAACCAAATTTTTCACCAAGAGACCAACGCGGGCACGACAACAGCACACCTTATAGCACCACACGTACTGGGAACCATCGACGCGCGACGAGGCTTCACCAAAACCTCGCCCACGCCAGGAAGCAAACGGGCAGCTAATTCATGGCTCAAACACTTCGTAGCCATAGCCTTTCTTCCCTGGCCATGTAAACCGGCACCAAGTCGCAACAGAAGCAGGGCCACAACTGACCGACCATTTGTGCTCAAGGGCACGCCACATTATCTCAGCACCAGGCACAGCACACAAACGCACGTGAGTCAAGTGGGGCAATCTCACCGCAACAAGGAAACCTCCCACGTGCAAGCAAGGTGTACATGACTCATGACGCACACGAGGACACATGCGGCAAACCATGGGAAAAAAGGTTTTATCAAGGCGCGCACGCTTCGTAATTTCATTACATTTGTTTACGAGAACGCGGACCGGGGGCATGAATCGAGGCAGTGAAATATTCAAACCACCGTGCCGCAATGTCAGTGCCACTTCCGCATAGCACTAGCAATGCCAACATAGTAGCCACAAGGAGAACACCAACAATATAATGCATGGAATCAAAAATGTCAACGGCACCAAGGCTGGGACAAATAGCTTGCAACTGGAGGTGCAGCAGCCCTTCAAGCGCAGGCTTTGCAACAACAGGATCCCAAGAGTCACGCCGAGCATGTCTCCGAAACAAATGCCTATGTTCTGGGGCCAGCAGCGTCGCAACCTTAGCAGGCCATTTGTTGAAAGCCTGCCCAACAAGCCACGCAAGAGTACGACAACAAGCACAAGCAACCCACAAAGGTTAAGACAGCAACGCTGGACCTTCTCCATTTTGCACCCTTGGGAAAGCCAACGGGCACACATTTGGAAACAGGTCATCAACACATGCCACAGTAGTGCTGGGGGCCGATGGCAATGTAAAGCACCACCAGTACACGCGCTACACCCAGCAAGCGTTGGGCTTCCAGTGGTCCGCACGCCACTCAATCCCGGAAGGCCGCACATTTCAATGGTTTCATGGCATGCATGCGCCACGTCATGTGCCAGACGTCGGTCGTAGACACCACATTTTTCATCAAACTTCATTATCGGAGGAACCCGCCTCCCATGGGAAGTGGAACGGGGCATTCGGAAGCAGGCCGTCAACGAAATCATTTTCGCCCGGCCTGGTACAGGCCTCGAGTAACAGACAGGAGTATGCCAGGTTGGACACCACCAGCTCATGCCTTTTTTCGTGCCCGTTGTCCTGACATCGCTCAGCCCGCCAAAATGCAAACAAAAACGCCGCACCAATGTCCACACGAGGTGCCGTTTCAAAGCACGGCGGTCAACAAACATGACTGTATAGGACCAATTCGGCCAGCCCAAAATATTGTAAAGGCATCTAAAAGTGAGTTGTGGTGATTAGTTGTGGCAAACCGTTTCAGGTGGAGAGCTGGCATGCGTGATCAGTTGAAAGCGACGTGCTCTCAAACAATCGTCGGTTTGTAGTAGAACTGAAAAGGCTGTAAGGTCTCAATTTTTAGGGTTCGTAACATTTTTTCCCAGGAACCAACGTTAAGAGCATCAAAGCCCTACAAGCGTTGGCTGCCCCCCATAAAAACACTATCGCTACTGGGGGTTGGCTACCCAACATGTTTTGGATTCCTGACACTCACTGGGAGTTGCCACAGGGAACAATTTCAAGTTCAGAAACTAAAACCAAGGGTTCTCCATTTTTTCTGTTCGGGCCCACTGGTTGCTTAAGGTACGTGGGGTGTGTCAGTTTCTAGTTTGCGAAATCCATGGGTTAAGTAACCGAACATCACGTATCTAGTTTTCAAAAGATTTCGGAGCACCGTTTCCCAATCTCACACTTCTAGTTTATGTTTCCAGTATCCGAACCCCACGTTCCTAGTTTGTGAATCCAAATTTCCGAACTCCATGTTTCCAGGTTCCAAAACCCTGGTTAGAGTTTGAGAAAGCAAGTGTCCGAAACCCACGTTCCGAATTTTTGTTTGCGAACCCAACCTTTTAGTTCCCGAGCCGGACGTTGACGCTACATCCGGCGACCTGAACAATTCCACCATTTTTATCACTTCGCAGACGTTTGTCGACACATCCAAGGCATGGTGGACAAATGACCATCGGCCACTACCATGGGTAATGTGCCGGTTTCACCTGTTGGCGCGTTCCTGAACCCAACATGTCATTGTCACAAAACGCCAACGACTTGTAAATCAAAGGTACGCTGTGCAAACGAATTTCGCATTGCTTAGCATAAAGGGCACTGTTTAGTGGTGCCTGCTCGTGGCATTGGGCCATGTCGTGCCGATGCTGCCGCCGATGCATTCCTTCCACGCGGCTTGGCTTGTGAACCCCCACATGGTTGCAAGTCACCAGTTGGGGTATACAGAATGCCTGATTTTAGGTTTCGGGAGGTTTGGCAGCAAACCCGGGAGGGAAATGCCCAGTTTTTCAAACCAGTGAGTTGATGTGCGGTCTGGCACAGCATGTCTCACATCACAGTTTAGTTTAGTTGCCGCATAGCCGTTTCTTGTGGGATGAGGATTTGTGGGGCTGACGTTTCGGACTTGTTTGCCTACAGCACCTTGGCCACCATGCGCGCTAGATGGTCTTTTTTTTTAAATATGCCATGCCCAGTTGTGTTTCAGTTGGACTGGACCCCAGGTCTTAGTTGCAAGATGCGTTTGCGCCACCATATGAAAATGGATTCCATGACGTGTGAAACTCTTGGCAGGCCATCTAAAGTTTGTCACTCACAAGTTTGTCGTCTCAACGCCGCCATGGTGTATGTTGTCAGGCACCACCAAGTACATCAAAATCAGGGATGCGCGATTGGGAGTCTTGGCGGGACAATTCGTGAAAATCCACTAAATCAATGACCTGTTGGGCCAAGCTCGCGTTCAAGACTGCTATAGGCTGCTCAAAGGGTGCGGAATGCTGTGTTCATGTGCTGCGAACCTTTACTTGAAATGTATTTTCATAGATGTTTTGACTGAGAGGGTTTGTTGCATTGAATTGAACTGGTTAGCCTTTTGCGGCAGTGTCCGGGACTTGACCAGGTTTGCTGCACTATGGCTTGATGTTTCTGATCGTTGTGTACATTTTGGTGTACCAGCTGATTGGGAAGCTAGGTGGGGAGAGATGCATTTCCGACCAGAGAGCGAACCGAAAACTGATGCCTGGAACCGACTAAATGCATCAAACAACAACAAGAATCAAGAACAAGAACAAAAACAAGAACAACAACCAACAACACCAACCACCACCACCACCACCACCACCAACAACAACAACAACAACAACAACAACAAGGAAGCGACTATTCTGGCGCCCCGTGCCCATGCTCATTCTCTACTTAATTCAAGAGACCTTTACACACGACCCCTTGTTGATCCAGACCCCCCCCCCCTCAGCCAACACAACTACCAACGGGTCGTCTGTAAAGGCCTCTTCTAGGAGGGGATGAACATACATCAACCGAACAAAACGTTAAGTCACATCATCCTCTCCCTTCAGGCAGCCAAGCTTGGATCATATTTTTCCACACATTCAAGCCGCAGTCTTCGGGATCAACACATATAGTGGTAGCCTTCAAGGCCCATTCCAGTCCAATTGAAAAGATGGAAATCCAATGGGTTCACATTCGCTTCACCCTGGTCTTTCGCCACCACAAGCCAATCTGGCGGGCACATATTTGTGTCATACCGGCTGTGCACAGTGAGGCGGACACCAGCTCTTGGAAGTTTCTTCACTGCATCATACTTTTTGCACAAATGGAGAATGGTTGGTTCAGCGTGCCTGTGATGTTGCAAGTAGCCATACGGGTCGTCACTTCCATTTGGTGTTTTGGGCATGGTCTTGTCATCCGATTGCACTGTCCAAAAGAGCTTGACGCAAAATGGGCCGAGAATTGTAGACCCTCTCCCGAATCATCCAGCTGACATAGGAAGGGCAGTTCTCACGAACCCACTGCAAAGAATTTTTTTTGTGTTCGCCAAAGTCCAGAACATACCCACAGGCATCTCTGCCAAAAATTGGCTTTTCTCGGCGTCTGTGAGGGGTCGCAAAGTAAGTTGCGGGTTACTAAATCGACGGCGAGGGCCGTCTTGCTTAATCTGTTGACATGTTTCACAGTACCGCGCTCTGGAGCTCAGCTTTTTCTTTGGTACCGCTTTGCCTACTGCAACTTTCTTCACTGGTTTTGAGGGCCGCGACACATGTGCAGAAGGCCTCTTCATTCGGCACAAGCATGGAAAAAGACACCCATACTGCGCTCTACATTGAGTCAGAAACTTGCAGGAGATGTGGCGACATCTTTAGTGCCTTTCATCCTGGTCCCAGACGACCCCCAGGTCACATCCCTACAACGGGTCGTTGGTGCTAGTCTCTTGAAAAGAGAGAAGGGGACAACCTTCCTTACCGTATCAGCCGTATCATGCGCTTTGCCGCTTACAATTTCAAGAGTCTAACACAAACGACCCCCCGGTGGGCAGTGGTACCCCAGTACAATATGTTGCACTTCCCATGATCATGCTTTATGTTTCTTGAAATCGAACAGGTGGATAAGTCTGTTGAGTGTGATTCTGATACGAGTACCTTCCTTACCTTTTTACCACAAACAACCATCACCCAACGGGTCGTTCATGTAGCAGTAGCAGTAGCAGTAGCAGTAGCAGTAGTAGTAGTAGTAGTAGGAGCAGCAGCAGCAGCTGCTGCTGCTAAACCTCTGTAGAAATTCTACGTAGAACCCCTACCCTAGAAGCAAAAACTGCAGCCCCATTGTTGTTTTCTGGACACCCCTCCAGAACAACACCTCAAAAACACTAAAAATAAAGCAGCCCAGACTTCAGTGAAACAAGTCCAATAAGTCCACCTACTTACGGAACCAACATTCGCCCAAACTTTCAACCGTATCCCTATATGTGCCCCTTTGAGGTTCCAAAGCTACAACAGTGACAATTATGTTGGGTGGCTGTTTTTGTTTCTACTAACAACAACGTCCGCGGCCTGAGAGAATCACCACATGTGCAGCCCTGGCCGTGGGCCGCAGGCTACTTGAAGTTCAACGACGCCCAGAACACCGTGCGTCTCACTCTCCAAGAGTTGCCCGGCTATATTGCAAGATGTTTTTTGTTTTGTGCCTTGTGGCATGTGATTCAATCATGTGATGTCAAATCTGTTCGCGCCAAATGCCCAAAAGACGGGTGGAGAATTCAATTGGCCTGGAAATATTGAATCCAAAGTGGGGTTGTGATTGTTCCAAGTGAAGAGTGACAGCACTGAAGCGGAAGAGGTGAGACATTTTGTTGATTTTTGTTCCGCCCACTTTCCGGTGAAATATGGTTTCCAAAGGCTGCTTCCCATGCATCGCGGCCAAGGCCGACGCAGGGTTGCAATCCCAACGACACTGGTTGCAAGGAGTTGTTGGCTGTCAACGGACCAGATTTGGAACGACCCGTGGCGACGGCCCAGGTATTTCTTGTGTTGCCATTGTTGCCAGTGGGAGCTTTGGAATGAAACCATGGACACTTCGTTTGACATAGTGTTCCCCACTGGAACTGGATCAGGAACTGGAACTCCCCCCTCCCCCCACCCACCAAAAAAAAATCGAGATTTCCTTTATCAGAGGAGCTGGAATCCCAACTAGATTACTGGAACTAGAACTGGATCTAGAGTTAATTTCAGCTTAGGAATTGAAGTGACAACTAGAATTGGACATAGAACTGGATCTAGAACTAGAACTGGAACTGATCTCCCCGCCCCGGGACAGCTGCAAGCTCTTTGACAATGGATCTGGAAGCGTTCCAACCACCTGGGGCACACTCTCTTCGACGACTGAAGACCTCTCCGCCACGTGTTTTGCAGGACAACTTCGCCTCTTTGAGCCAGTTGCCGTACTGCTGTGCTCAGAATTCCAGTTGTAAGACCAACTCCGATGGTTCCTGCTCGTTGCTCGGAGCACTTACGACCACCGGATGCAGCTTCTTCTTCGTTGTTGCACGAGGTGTGACTATCGGACCAGCTTCAAGGACTACAACTGTACCTGGCTCAGCGGCGCCTTGGCACGAAGCTTGAGGAAAACTGACAAGGGAGGAAGATGGGTACGCATGGTACTCCTCAGGTCCCGTAAATGTTCACATGAGACTTCTCCCAGGTTCTCAGGGTTTGCGTTTTGAAACGCCTTTAGCGTCGCCCTTTGCGTTGCCCTTTGTTGCCCTTTGCATGGCTTTGGTAGTAGCAGAAAACGAGCAGTTTGCCTCTGAGGTACAGATGCGTCAGTGATTCGAGAGAGCTCCATCGTTGTTGCCACCTTCATTCATGCGCCTCAGATTAAATTTTCCTTTGGTGGGTTGGGTTATGGATTAATATAATTGAGTGGGGGGTGCTCGACTGAGTTGTTGAGTAGAAAGTGTGATAAGACTCAATCAGGATTAATCAGGGAGCTTTCACCATCTTGGGATGGTATTTAGTATTTACTTCCCAGCTGCAACTCTCATGTGCACTAGACCGTCAACATCTGAAAGGTTGTCTGCGAGAGAGACGGCCTTGCCCTAGGAGTATGACCAGTCTTTGAACACAACGTGCTTCAATTCTTACCCCTCTGCAGCCAACAACTGCGATGATCTCTGGCTCATACAGGAGAAGGCAAGGCAGGCTTCGGAATTTTGATGTCAGACCGTCTGGTAGAGAGAACAGCTGGTACTTTGTCACTCTTGGCCGGGAGCAGATGAGACTTGAAGACATTTGGATCCTTCGATTTTGGCTTCAATCGTTGACGGTCTACGGCGTCCGTCCCGCCAGTACCTCACAGGCTTCGCTCTTCGCGGCAGATGTGGAGGCTTTCACTATGCTGATTGCGTCCTGGCGAGAACAAACGGGCCTTTCTTTCTTGCCTCTGGTCGGCGGCAGCCGGAGACTCCCCATTTCTGAGCTCCATCATTCACAAAGCAACACGCAGCCCCCGCAAAACAAAGATCATGAAGCCACGAGATGATCAGAATTCAGAAACTCTATATAGTGTGCCATCGTTCCAGCATTTCCATCAAACCAGGACACTGTCGCCATCGGTTTCTGGTGTTTCAAACTTTGGGGCATTCTGGGACAGTTTTCCACTCATGGCCTGTTAATGGGCTTGCTGTCCATGACCAGGACCCGCAAAAGGCACAGCATGCTCGTTTTTGTGAAGGGATTCTAAGGAGGCACAGTCAGACAAAGCGTTGAAAGCCAGTCACTGCACCCGAGCCGCCCTTGGCACCATCCAAGCGGAGCCTGTCACGTGCACATCGCGTGCGTCGCTCGACCTTTGAGGACCATTCGGTGACTTCCCCAAAGTCCGGGCTTGCCACAACCTCCCGCCAAATGCAGGCACGCCGTGCATCGCTTCGCACGCGCTTCACACGGGTCAAACCAAGACGGTACGGCCGAGAAACTCCATGTCGTGCATAGTTCGTCAGGACCCGTCTCATGTGATTTCGGAGTCTAGCCTTTTCGTGTTTATTTGGATGGGGGTGGGGTGCATTTACAGTCACAAGTGCCAAGAACAAAATCATTGTTGCTTTCAATATGTGTTACCAAAGGGGTGACAGTCTTCAGGCAACCAAGCTGGCAAAGCCAGTCGAGGGACTTAAAATCTTGACAAGCGTGTCAATGAAACAGCATGGCCTCCGTTCCTGCGCCCGTCGCCATGCCGCAGGGGATGCTCTTTGTGGGAGACAATGGGAACGACGGTGATGTGTCTAAAGCCATCAAGGAGCTCAGTTACCTGAGATCCCTTATGGTTGCTGTTTGGAAAGCCTGGAATGAAGCAACAAGGGACGGTGGACGCTTGTTGTTCGCTTTTTGTTCCTCCTAGTGAGGCAAGTATATTTGAGTTGGGGCAGATTGTGCGACATCGCGCCCTTTTTTCTTCAGACTGCCATGAACATCCATGATGGAGTCTAGAAATACATGGACATGGACCTGGCACATTCGGCACTCAGTGACATCCCTCAACCTTGTCCAGGATGAGCTGTGCCGCAGCAATCCGAAAGCAGTCACGGCGCAGGAGGGCGGTAGCAGTACAGATCATGCGCCTGTGGAGCAGGAAAGCTTCTGACACCCCAAGACTTAGGTTTAGTGTTGTCGGTGATGATGATGATGATGATGACGACGACTACTGTAAGACTATGACTGTGACTGTGACTATGACGACGACGATGACGACGACGACGACGAGGATGATGATGATGATGATGATGATGATGATGATGATGCAGAATCATCATGACAACAGTTTGGTTGAGAATCTTGCTGCCAGGGCCTGTTTTCTTCCTGGACTGGCTAATGGTTTTCATTGGTGAATCCCTACTGTAAGGAACTCGCACGAAATGGTATCAGTTCGGAAGGGTGTTCACCCTCAGCCACACTGGTAGTTGTCACATGGATTGGATTGTATAAGAGGAGCCCCGGAGCCCCCACGATTTTGCACCAAAGTCTGGCCTGCCCTGCTTTTTGCATTGAACATATGATATGTGTATATATTATATATTTGTATATATACTGCATATATATACACACGTATTATTATACACACACGCACACATATACACACTTTGACAACGAACCTCCTGTATAACTTTCTGTCCGGATACTGTAACCACCATTCAAAGCCAAAGTCTCAATGTGCCCAAAGTGGTGTTTGTAGTATTTTGTAGTGTTCTTGAGGGTGAACCGGATCATAGCTCATATATAACCTTATAGTTCGCGTGATGCCAACCGCTCTGGCACGGTTATTTGCAGGGCATCTAGCTTCTCCACAAAGCCTTTTGGGATCTTTTGGGGTCAGTAAGTGCTCGACACAAAGCTACGAAGTCACCAGCAATCATGCCCCATCATGGTCCATTGACGTGATGGATGAATCCAGAGGGAGTAGACTCAGACACCGCGGCTCGCCCTGATATGCCCTGATCCGCTCAACCCAGTCCCCCTGCTATGTGCCGCCGAACTCAGCGGATGGCTTGGATTACTTCAGCGTGGGCACCCTACTGCAGGCTTGGGCTCACGATGGCCGTCCGCATGGGAAGATGGACCAAATTTGCCAATAAATAGTTGGTGGGGAGAAACTTAAGGCCAGGCCGTTCTTTGTGCCTGTCGGTGTCGTATGCCCTCGGCGAATAAATTTGAATTTAACCTAGTACTAGCATGTGTCACGGCAGCTAGCTAACATCACCGTGCGACCGTGCAACACCCAAGGGAAAGTTCGATGCCGGAGCAACAGTTCCATGCTGAAGAGTCCTTGGACCAGTGTTAAGGTTAGGACTCAGGCAGGTATGTGTTGCTTGAGCTTCACTCTGCCAGAGGCCACTGGGGTGACCCTGGAAGGTGAAAGCTATCCAGGCACGACATCGGACGATCCACCGCGCGCTGGGCGGTCTTGGTGGATGGTTCCTGTTGGCTCCTGTCCAAGGCTCCAAGGTGTTCCTGGTGTTAGGCCTTCTGTGTGAGGACGAGATTCTGAGTGCTCCAAGGTGTTTCTGAGTGTTTTCTTCATCTCTCTTCTCAAGTCTTCTCACAGCCGGTCCAGGGAGCTTGGAACGTGGCACAAGGGTGGTATGGAAGCCATGGCTCTACATGATTTCATCATATTTTATTCAGGAATCTCTATGCTTGACACGTCGGAATAAAGCGATGTTGCAGAGGTTGCATCCCACACTGGGCCTTGGCAGTAGCGTATGGGAACATATCATATGAATCATTTGGAATGGGGGCCTCAAGATGGAACCAGGCACCCAGGTGAAAAAAAACTACGTATGAGATTAAATTAGCCGATTCCGACCTACAGCGCAGCAGCACGAGGTAGCGGCCATTCAGCCAGATACGAAGGGTTGACTGCATCCTGGCGGCGCAAGATGGGGCATGTGCATGGCCGCCTTTGACAATCGCCTTTGGAATCAAGGTTCCCGGGTGTCCTCAAATCCGACCTTCGCATACCTTCCGCCAGATCAACCTGTTGATCGACTACAGCAACTCGCGAGATTGGCATGGGCTGCAGCCGAACATTAGCCACCAAATTGCATACAGTAGCACTTCTTCAGAGCCCGTCAACGGCTCATTTTTCCAAGTTCATGTAGTCTTTGAAGAGGGCGCAGTGGAGCTGCGACCCTCTGCTGCATCTGTTTTTGTCATTTGCTGCAGGTTATCTCTACAAGCCTTCAGTGGTGCCTCAGAACTCTGGGCTGCAACTTTGTGGATACTATGTGTATGTGTTGAACTATGAGGTATCGGATGAACCCACACACACAAAAACAAATATATGTGTATATCAAAGAACACGCATATTCAATCATATTCACGTCCAGCAGTTCGTTGGCTGAAACTGAGGAGCACCTTTAAGACCACCTTGCTGTCGCCTTCGTCCTTTGGCCTTCAGTTGGAGTCTTCACTACTTGAGGACATGTCCAATGAGTCAAATTTACTGTAGTTGTTTCATTTAAACGGGTGCTGAAGTTGACCCATCAAGAGGCGAACTGAGACACCGGGGTTAATGGAACCATCACTTTCATTTTCATCCTCTAGGAACCCCGTGAACCTGGCAGCACATGGATCACGTGGATGCGTTTGTTCTATTCAAGGGCACAACCCCAAGCAAAAGGCAGATGCAAGCCAGGGGCCAGGGGTTTTCAATTGAATCAACGCACGGTCGGGATTGTTTGATGGCCTCGTTCTCACGCGCCGTGTGAGAGGCAAGAGGCCCTCCCACGTCTCTACCCCATGCTTCTTCTGAATTGTTGAGCATTTTTGAGTCAATGTCTCTAATTTTCAGGTCGTTGAATGGGCAACAGATGTTGAAGAAGGATATCCACGGACACCCGGTGGCATGTTTGTACTGACAGAGGTCAGACATTGCACCGGTGCGGGCTTGGCTTCGGTTGTGCGAAGTTTTTCGTTGCGAAACTATATTTAGTTTCTTCCGAAGGCTAAGTCCTGAGCTTGCGAACAGGTTGTTTCTTACGCAGGGATTTTTTCTCGCTGAATCCTTGCCGATGATGCGCCCAGGTAAAGCAAAACTGGTTGGTGGTTCAAAATCATTTTCCTTCTTCAAAAGCTTTAAGACCTGGGATGACGAAATCCCAATGGCTGATGTTGTCCGTTCGGCTGATGTTGTCGCCAAACGGAATACGAACGTTCAGGGGTTCTCTTCGAAGTGCGGCCCTCTGGGCAGCTGGCGGTCTTCGACTTCACGCAACTCTTGCTGCAGCCACTGGGCGCTCAGACGTAGCAACAGCATGCAACAGCTGTCCAGTCTCCAGTGATTGCTTTGGTTGGGGAAGGTGTCATAGAAGTCAGATACAAACATGTGTGATCGGCTGGCTTGAGTTGAATGGTTACTACCATCCGTGGCAACTAATTCCAGGAGTTGGCGCCTTGGGACAGTCTTTGTGGATCTGAAGGGCAATGGAAGAGACCCGCCAACTGCTGCACCACTCTGCTAATTTAGAGGTAGTGTTCCCCTCCATTTGGAACTCATATGGGGTCGTTCCATGGGCACGCAATGCCGACAGCATCAGGCAGCCACGATTGAGACCAGCCGTATCCAACGTCTCGGGCCGAACAGCCACTCAGGCTGACGACCAGCTTGACCTTACTGGCACTGGCCACGGCCACATGGCACTAGTGGACAGAGTGGTTGCCTCGTTGTTCACCGGCCCAATCTTTGGAGGCCCTTGACGGCCTCCTTCAGCAATCAGATGGTGTGGAAAAGAACCGACCAACAAGAGGAATATATATAGTTATATAAATATATATACATACTGTCGGAGGGCCCCCTATTGAAAAGGGAATGTATTTAATTTACTTATCCCGGCCCCAGGTGGGTGTGAACATCCTGGCGCAGTACGTCCTCCGGTATCGCCCTCCTGGCAAGTTGGGAAGTACACCTGCAGCTCGCATGATGGACAACAAGGGGAAGGGGAAGGAAAAGAGATGGACAAAGACCTTGACACAGGGCTTCGCACAAACCAGAGGCTACAAGAGACGCTTGTCCCATTGCGTCACCTCCTGCCTAAGTTGCTCAGACATAAAGATAGAAAAGAGTGCACAAAGCCATTGACTGTCCATTCTGAATCAGCGCCAGGCCACTACTATTCTGAAGCCCTGTACGATAGAACGGCGGACTTCGACAACATTTCCTTCTTGGAGAGTCAGTCAGATAACCATTTGAGACAGGCGGGGCTTGAGAAAGATCTCCCAGATGATCTCCATGCATCTTTCAAACCTCCGCATGGATGTGCATGCCAAAGAAGCTAGCCGGCATTCCTGCCCCTTGCTTGCAGCGGGTTTGAATGCCTTGGGTTTCCCATAGTGTGGGCAAGTCTTCCGTATGGGTCTTGGACTTGACCCATGCTCAAATTCTTTGATGTTTCATTGCTAGCGCAATCGGTGTCCACAGTTGTGGCGTGCAACCAGTGCACCAAAGACACGCCTGAGCATTCTCCAAAGGGTCAGTGTACTGAGCGTCGCCAGCGTAATCAGTGTAGTGTACGATCATTCGCTCTGATATTTAGGGCCGATTGCCAGCTCAGGGCGGCCCAAATTACTGTATCTATACAAAGGGCTGAGCTCACCTTCTTAAGCTAAATCATGCAACATTTGTTTGGGAGTCTTGATTCCACTTGCAGGAGCTAGAGGATCGAAATCTTCCCACCAGCGGCACGCGGGAGCGCATGATCTTGCGCCACTCGGAAGGGGCATCGGGCGGGAAGGAGCAAGTCACATACTGTGGCACAATAGCAAGATGACCAACCGTCGTTTCCGCTCAAGGATCGTATGTCCACAGCTTTTTCAGTTTCGTCCATTCTGGATTTTCTGAGGCTGGGGGTTCAAACGAACTGGTGGGGTTTAGGTTGCCCAAGTCATTGTGGTCACCCTTCCTTCACCTCCCTCGCTTTGCTGGACTTGGACTTGGCTGCTTCCTTGGATTTGGTGCTTGTTGCTTCCTGGCCTGGCGCCTTGGCTTGTCATTTGTGGGGTCATCGATCCCTGACACCACCTCTGCTCCTAGGGCTTCTCCTGGAGCATCTCCTGGGCTACAGCGGATCCAGGCCTACTTGCATGAGTGAACAAACTGTTGATCTGCTTCAACTCCAAGTTCAGCAGTTACTCATCAGGGTCGAGATTTTGGAAAAGAAGGTTGTTGAGCTTGAGCGCGGACATCACGACGGCTTTGAACTCGTGTCCTCGCCCCCGCGTGCTTCAAGTCTGGCCAGAACATCTTCGAGTTCGTCGATCTACAATTCCCTGGCACTTGAGATTCCTGACGTGTCTCCTGAAGCTCTTCGCCTGTGTGGGAATCTTCGAGGAGGTAAGCTCAGCTTCAAGCAGAGAGCGGAGCGGGCTTCGGCTGCAGGGTATTGGGCCAGGTTTTGTCTTCAGGGTCGAGTCAGCAAACCTCGTCCTACCACCCCGTGCGATCTGGCAAATACCACCTACGTGGTCTTGCGCGCAGCAGGCATCAGCTCTCCAGTCCGGGTTGAGAAGGCCTCGGACTACCGTGCCCTTTTGGGTGATTTCTCAGGATCTTCGAGCACCAGCATCTCTCACGGCTTTGCATCGAAGGCTGAGGCCAAAGTGTACTGTCTTGGTGCCGACGTGGCCTATCCTGAGCAGGTGTATCAATGGAGCTAGACGCCATAGTGCCGATAGTAGACGAGAATGTGGAGCTCTTCAGAATCTTCTGGCCACCGGACCCTCACATGGTCCAAGCTCGTCCAGGGATCTGTTTGATTGTGATGGTCAGGCGTGCTGCAGGAGGCCGAGTGTTAGTTGCAATGCCAACAGCTTTGGTCCCAGCAGGCAGCCTTCCTTTGGAGCCCGAGGAGTCAGATGTGATTGGGCCCCATGCTCAGTTCGAGTTGCCAGCAGTCAGAATGTCAGATGGAGGAATAGAACACTTGGGCACCGATGTCACGGTCCAGGTAGTGGATCTTGGAGCCGATGCTCTCAGTGCGCTGACTCCCCTTTCGTTAGTCCCGGAATCAGAGGATCAGGGGCTCATCGGTTTTGGAGAGGATCTGGACATCATACCAGAGCCTACATTGCTGGAAGAGAGTGTCAAGAATTGGCTCGTCACTCATGGGCCACTCATGGGGGTCAGAGGGTCGCCTTTTACTCTGCGGACGAAGAGGCGGACTTCCCCGCGGCAGTGGCAGCTCCGCTGCCCCCAAGAAGAGATCAGGCGGCGGGCATCACTCCACCAGAGCAGTCGCCCGGCAAGCAGAAGACGAAGGACCCGCCCAAGAAGAGGGTCACTACAGCTGCGCTGTCAGACCAGCTATCCAGCCTCATGGAACTGATTCCCTCCATGGTCGAGCAGATCTCAGATCTTCAGAAGAGTCAGGTGGCTTTGCAGGAGACAGTGGAGCAGAACCAGAGGGCTCCTCCTCTCCGGGCCAGCCAAGCACCTGTGGCCGAGACCGTGAAAGGTGTGGCTTCTTTCGCCAAGATGATGGGCTCACCTCCGCGAACCAAGTCACTGGTTCATGTGCCGGTGACTCCGGCGATGCCTATGCCAAATTCTGGTCTCGATGGATGTGTCCCTCCTCAGACCTTTGCAGAGGAGCACAGCCCTACGGTCCATGCCAGTCCCTTCACGCAGGCTATGCTGGAGCAGAGCAAGGCGTTGATGACTCTGGTCGCTCACATGCAACAGGGTGGAGATCCACTGTTAGATGGGCAGGGATCCTCATCGAGCGGGTCATTAGGAACCAGAGGCTCGGTTGGACGCGAAAAGCTGCAAAGAGAGTTGGCGATGAAGTCAGGCAGTTTTATCTTGCTGTGTTGCAAAATGCTGTAAAGAGGCTGAACCTGCCAGCCCGAAGCCGGGCTCAGTGGAGGAGATCGCGGCCACCGACTTTTCGATGATTCAGTACCTCGAACGATTCGGTTGCCCTCAACATCTTCTTGGGCACATGCAGCACTTTCAGTCGTGTCCATTCACCCTCAGGAACACTATGCCACATCTCAGGCGCACAAGTACCAACACTGCCTTTGTTGATGGCAGTCCAGCCTGCTCTGTGGGCAATGTTGATCTGGTGTCTCCCCAAAGGTCGACGCCCATGAAACTGGAAGAGGTGGTAACAGTGGTGGTCAGTTTTTCTGCTGTCGGGAGGGCCAGTCGACGTACCGAATTCACCACTACGACAAAGAAGGAAATGGCTTCCTGGCAAATGTCCTGCAACGCCAAAAGTGGGAAGTGGTGTTGGTGTCAGTCTACCTCCGTACTGGCGAAGACCTCAATTCGGTGACCAATGCCATCATTTTGGGTGAATTGGCGGCTTTTCTGGGTGAACTTGCCGTACCATGGATGCTGGTTGGAGATTTTCAAGTCCCTCCTGAGCAGTGGGCTGGGCATCAACTGCTGAATGTGCTCAAAGCAGAGGTTGTCAAAAGTGGGCAGCCGACTATGATCAACGGGGCAGAACTTGACTACTTGATTGCCAGTAGAACCCTGACACCGTTCATCGACATCAAGGTCAATTGGGACGTTCCGTGGAAGCCGCACGCAGGCCTCGTTGTGACAATAGACAGTACAGCACCCAGTTTGCACCTGCCACAAGTCACTCAATATGCTGCCATCCCAAAACTGCAAAGCAGCCCAAAGCAGTGGGAGGAATGTCAGCCGTCTCCGAAACCCTATTGGCTGGGTAGACAAATTGGGCCAAAAGAAATCCAGTGTGCAGAATGGTGTCATCGTGCTGAGCAGTACACCCTGCAGAATCTGACGGACCCAAAGATGGGAAGAGGGTGGTACCTTGCCATTGAGCTCAAGCCGCTGCCGCCAACCAGACCTTTGACACCCTGGAGAAGAGGAGACTTGGCCTACTGGGGCCAATTTAGCTCCTTGCTCTCCCACAGTGAAAGCAAAGGAAAGGTCAGCACGGCGGCTATGATGCATCTGAAAGCGAAAGCTGCGGACCTGCCAATGAGGTGGCAAAACATCCATGGAGATGTTGAGTTTTGTGCAGCTCTGGAAGCCTTGGTGTCAGGGGAGTCCATGCCCTTGACGGTGCTGGTTCGGGGAGCAGAAGCCAACTATGACTTTGCAAAGAAGGCAGTGCTGCAGCAGCAATCGCATGAGTATCAGGCATGGCTCTCTCAAGCCTCTCTGAGAGGGCAGAGTGGCATCTATAAGTGCCTCAAGGCTCCCGACGTGGTCCATGTGAGACCTTTCAGGAATGTGCCCGCCCAGGACAGACAGCAGCTGAGAGAACAACAGTGGTATGGCAGATGGAAGGTCATTGAGCAGCCCAGAACAAGTGCAGAGCGGGAGCGGTTGAGATGGGAAGGCATTGTGCAGGCCCGGACTTGGGAGGACCTTGACCTCATCAGGTGATGAAGCAACTGGCCAAGCTCCCACAGAAAGCAAGTGGCCCTGATGGCATCAGCTACGCCATGCTCAAGAACCTTCCACTTGAAGGGGTCACTGACTTGTGCAATATGTACAGACAGTGGGAACTTTCTGGACGACTGCCTGACCAAGTATGCGCAACATTGGTGGTACTGCTGCCAAAGAAAGAGGACATAGAGCGGCCCATTAGCTTGACCAGTGTTCTCTACCTCACTTGGTGCAAGCTCAGATGGCAAAAGCTCCGTGACTGGCAGGGTGATGCTGGGCCGAGAATGCCATGGGAGAGGAGCATGCCGGGTATGCAGGTCCTGCACGTAGCCCTCATGCGCCTGCTCAAGTGTGAGGTTGGCAAAGCCATTGGCCGCAGTGTTGTGTCCTTGCTGGTGGACCTCCAGTGCTTTTGCGACTCTGCGACCTTGGAGTTACTGCTTGGGCTTTGGGAACCGTTGGATTTCCCGCCGGCTGTACTGAATGCTGTCTACGAAGTGTATTCGGGCCCACGGCAGGTTACGTCACGACCAGTACACTGTGAGCGAGGAATCCTGGCCGGATGCCCTGTGGCTCCCCTCATTGCCAAACTGGTCTTGGCTCCGGTCATTGAGCGCTTCAGTGCTGCTTTCAACGGTTGATGTGTGGGTCGACGACATATCAGTAGACTTCGTTGGGACAGATGTTCAGCTGCTGAGCCGGGAAGCCTTGAATGGCTATGAACATATGCGGCAGGAGCTGGAAGGCATTGGCTTGCAACTGTCAAAAGAGAAGACTGGCTTCCTCACTTCGTCCAATGAGTGCAAGAAGACTCTGAACCTCCTACGGAGGGATGATCAGCCGAAAGTCCACGACCTCCTTAAGGATCTTGGCTTGGACTCAAGCGGAGGTTGTCGTCGTTGGATTGGGACACAACAAAAACGCCTCCTGAAAGGCAGAGGGAGACACTCAAAGCTCATGCACTTGAAGCTGCGGTCCAGACCGGTGAGGATCCGTGTATGGAAAACCTCTGTCCATGCAGCAGCGGGCTATGGCTTGGAAGCTCAGGGCTTGGCGCCCCAGAGGATGCGTGTTCTTCGTCAACAATTAGCCACGCATGGGGGACTGCAGAAAGGAGGAAGTGTGGACATTGTGTATGACCAACACGTCAAGCTTCAAGATCCAAAGGACACTATTGTCGAACGACAAATGAAAGCCATGCACCAGCTGCTAAAAGCTTGGCCACCTGCCCAGCTTGGGGAACTGAAATCTGCCTGGCGCATCTCATGGAAGCGGGTGGCTACGGCGGCCTACCCATGGACGGTGGTGGCAGGACCAACGGCAGCTCTGCAAGCCTACT